GGGGGGGGGGGGTCGTGATGAGGGTGCAGCCCCCCCGGTGGCAGCTCGACCGCTGGGCCTGATGACGTCTTGGGGAAAGGAAGCCGACCTCCTCTCAGGCTGGTTCTCAGGCGTGACGTGTGTTTTTTATTTTCTCAAACCAAGTTTGAATTATTGCTGTTCAAATGGGGGTTCAGGCTGGCATTTGATTTCTAAAAATTGTCTGTTGATTTGAAAGAAAAACAGTTCCTCCCTCAAGGAGCAGGTCGGTTGAAATATTGTAGATCCCAGACCTAGTGGCCTGCACTGGCTCCCGCCCTTCCTCCGATTTGCTCGGTCTTTGCATCTGAAGGTATTTTCCTTTTTTCCCCGTTTTCCCCGTTAGTCACGCTTCTCCTTCCTTCCTTTAAACTTGCAGGTACACAGAGCATCCCCAAAAATGTCCACACCCTTTAACAGCTGGTCGCTCACTTAATGTTCACTCCTTTTCAGGTTTAACTGATTTGAAATAGTGGGTGAGGCCAGAGTAAGCTTTGAATGAAGAAAACTTATCCACTAGACTTTCTTTTTTTATGGGGACACATAAAGATAAAGTTCATGGTACAAAACCAGCAACAGGCAATGGACTGAGGGCGCAGACACCGAACGGAATGGTCCTTGACGTTGGCGACTCCACGGCGTTGCGTCATCAGCAGGGTCTGGGCCAGAACGGTNGATCTGAGCCAGAACGGTCATCAGTGTGGAAACAGGTGTTGGCAAAAAAATTACTCATTTCCGTAGATTCTTTCAAAATTTGAAAATGAACCGTGAGAGTAAACACTGACTGTCGCCACTCAGTGCGCGTAGGTAGTTCTGGGACGCCCAGTGCTTGAGGCTCCCGTCTGCTGCGGGCCAGGATCAGAGCCTGAGGGAGACGCTGGAGGGCCCTGTCCCCGCATCTCCCCTAAAGCGAGGGGGACGCCCCGCGGGGCTGGGCCCTTATCTGGGGCCGTGTTGGTTTGGCCGGGACGCTGGCCCGGCCTCCTGAGCCTGGGCTTTCCTCTGTCCTATGCACCCGAGCGCCTCCAAGCGTCTCTGCGACCGTCCTTGCTCCAGAGTGAGGTCTGGAGTGGGCTCGCCGCCGTGACGTTGCCCACGGTGCTGCGCCCGCTGGGTCGCAGGATCAAGCCTCGGTTTAAAACCGACGCAAACCAGGGCCCTGCGCGCCGGGCGACAGCCGCTCGCCAGCTCGAGTCCGCGAAGCATTTTTGTCCAGTCGGCGAGCAGCCGGCCGAGCCCCGCGTGGCGCCGTGTCCCGGCCGCGCAGGCGGGATGCGGTGGGAAACAACGTCTCCTCCTTGTCTTTCCAGCTCGAACGTGTGGGTCGAACCTGCGCGGGCCCAGCGGCGTGATCACGTCCCCCAATTACCCGGTGCAGTACGAGGACAACGCACACTGCGTGTGGGTCATCACGGCCGCGGACCCCGGCAAGGTAAGGCCGCCCCC